CTAGTCCATCGCAGGGTTACCTCCAGTATTAAATTTGCCAGTACCCATTTATACACCTGGGTAGAGAGAGGCACTGTGAGAGTACAGTAAAGTGCCTTGCCCAAGAACACAACACAAAGTTCCCGGTTAGGGCTCGAACTTAATGCCAACTTAATAAGTAGATAATTCATTTCAGGTTGTTTTTCAGGTCAGATAAAAGATAACACAGGGGCTTCAAAAATTCCCCAAATTTTTCACTCAGAATCTGTTTACGTCCCCCACCCCACTCCCACTCAATTTCAGCCAGTCAGCCCACAAAAGCTGTAGCCTGCAAGCAGGTTCTCATTGTTAGTGGCACAAACAAAGCTGTCGGTGAACAAAGAGAGAGTCTGTGAGCTAAGCAAGGCAGTGAAATTGAGAACCTGCACTGATGCTTTTGCTTTCTGAATACAGCCCCTCTAAAGGTGTCAAGATTTTGACAACTCACTAGCTTAATGTATCATATTATTAGCCAATAGAAATTGAGAAAAAACATCAACAAGCGTGATGGCAAATCGCACGTGGAGGGTTTAGTTTTAGTTATGCAAATAGCGCTTGTGTTTTGCCGCTCCCAAAGTTGGACAAATCTTTGACATATTTAATCACAACAAAATCTACACAGGGTGATTTTCTGTCCTTTACCTGATCCTGAATCATGCTGGTTAGCGGGCAAGTTACTATCATTACAGTATCTGAAATGTTGCCCTTCACGAGCTTTCTTGGTCATCACTACAGCAGCAAACAGCTAAAATATAAAACGTTTACTGTATCCAGTTGGCATAACTACAAAAACATCCCTTCCTTCTGAAAGACAATTTCCAGCTTTTTCCCTTTCTTGTTTTAGGTCGAACAGATTATTTGCTTTGATGGAAAGTCTTCAAAAAGCTTCCAGGATAAATCCCACACTTGGATTCTTGGACGCCAAGCCATGTTAGTGTTTGATAATTACTGCTGGTTTTGGTCATATTGATAGGACCTGTCATTTTTCACCAATCAGAAGGCTGCCTTAGTGGGCAAACTCACTGTATTAAAAAACAATGCCTTCCAAGCAGGCTCTCATTTCTTGTGCCAGGCCCCTCAGTGGCTTGCTTTGCACGCTGACTCATCTCTCACGACTTTGCTCATCGACTTTGTTCCTGCAATGTTTGAGAACCTGGTCGCAGGCTACACAAAAGCTGAATAGGCCCTTTGCAGCTAGACCATCACAATCTACTTTTCATAAAATTATGGGCTATAACTTAAAGAATGCCAGAAATGGAAAAAGCCCGGCATTAAACAATGAGAGTTTATGACAGTTTGAATTTTTTAAAAAATTAAGATTTGTACGGAAAAAGTTGTCGGAGGGCAAGACCTTGCTCTCCAGCAACATTTTCCATAAATGTCCCAAAAATTTAAACTGTCACATAAACTTACTCTTTAATGCCAGGAGTCTCAAACTTGGCAACTTTGCTATCGATATGTCCTTTCCATTTCTTTCCTTAATATAATTTTTTTAGCTTAACATTTTGTCACGTGACCCCCGCTGCAAAGGGCTTACGTATACAAATCTACGCTTTCCCTACCGTAGATCCAATGCAAGACTTAAGAGCCTCTCCTACTTCCTTTTCATTACCATACACTGCTGCACAATCGATATGTCTGTATCCTGCCTGGATCGCCGTCTTCACAGCATTGGCGACCTCGCCCGGCTTGCTTTTCCATGTCCCGAGTCCTACGGTTGGAATCGATCGACCATTGTTCAACGTAATAGTTTCCATTGTAAGTTTATAGCGTAATAGAATTCTTCATTCAAAACTTCTAAGACGAGTATAGATTTCAACTGATAACTGCCCTAAAACAACTAGAACCAAATAATTAACTCAGGGAGGAATGACGAGAGAGAATGCAGTGACAACACTTTGTCTGAGGCGCGGTAACAGGCGAGGTTACTCGGATGATTTTTCAAAGTGTAGGACTGGGACCCAGTAAAGCAGTTATGGAGAGCCTCTTCCAGGCGTTCACTTAGTTGGAGCGGAGAGCAAAACTAAGCGCAAAAAATAAATAAATAAGTAAATAAATAAGTAAATAAATAAGTAAATAAATAAATGAAACGCGCGGCGAGACCTCTCGCCGCCCTTTTTTTTATTTTTTCAAGCGCCGTTTTTCAAGCTGCACCCCAACTAACTGAACGCCTGGAAGAGGCTAAACAAGAGGAAAATACGGAAAATCCTACCTAAAAAAATAGGTCCGCAGTGCCTACTTGAGGGCTTGGCTGGTTGCTTTGAGTCTAGTTGGTTGGCCGGTTGCTTTGAGTCTAGTTTGTTGCCTGGTTCTTTTATGTCTGGGTCAGGGGGTTGGCTGGTTGCTTTGATCCGGACCCCCTCCTTAGCTCAAGGTCTGGATCCGCCACTCAATTGTCACACGTTGACGAGATTTTTGTCACAATAAAGTAGGGAATCTGTGTCAAAACCAAAGCGAGAAGAATTAGGAAAGTAGTAACCTTAAATTTTTCGCGTTTCAGATTTCGTAAGAACAGGTCAGCTTTCTGCATGGAAACCTCTTGGCCTAGGAGAATCCTTCTTCTTTTCCAAAGAACAACGCAGTAAATCTCCAAGTATATGACTGCAGTGGTTGACAAGGGGAATGTTGTAAATGCAAGTCAATGGTGTCGTAAATATCCTTGGGAATGTCAGAAAGCTGAATTAAACTAAACAACAAACTGTAAAGCCAAATTGCTATGAGGACGACGATGCAGTCTGCGTTTCTTACGGAACAACGATAGAAAATTGGACAGGAGTACCGCAAGAAGCCTCTCAACGGACAAAGCAACAACTAATACTGTAGCTGAGTTATCGACAAAATAATCCATAATACGGTCAAAGTAAGTCTCCCCATTTTGATTTTTAACACAGTAAAACTCATCCTTGGCCGATGTTGTGTCAGCGATCGCGCCGACAAGGAAGTCGTTTGCTGCTAGTCTGGTAATTAAAACCGCGAATGGACGTCTGAAGCACACAAAGAGTAAAAGGCCATTGATTCCGAGCGCTAAAGTCGATGCGATTAAATGAAGAGAGTCCACTGTAGAACATACGCCGACTCGCAACTCATCAGAAATACCGGAAAATGTTTCATTAGTCATGATTGGCCGTAGCATAGTGATACACCAGGATATTCTCCGATGCCAACGAGCGGATGAATCAACTCGGGAAGGAGATTTTCCTTTGCTCGGTTGTCTTACACCTAGCGATCTATTTGAAAGTGCTCCAGAGCTTTTGTTTTGTAAAAAATATTCGGATACCAAAAGTAACCTGTAAAATCTCCACAACTGATTACTCATATGCAACTCACTTTTTCGCATTGGAATTCTGGCAGCATTTTTCTTCAATTTGTCTCGCAACATTGTTGCATTGCAAGTTGAAACACATTGTTGCGCGTATTACCACGTTTGTGACCAATTTGTCTCGCAGCAAAATACA